CTCACAATGCCCTGAGCATCTCACAGTTCCTGGCTGAGAAGAACATCGCCGTGCTGGAGCAACCTCCATACTCACCCCACCTGGCTCTGTGGGATTTTTCCTCTTCCCCAAGCTCAAGGGGGTCATCAAGGGGACCTGTTTTGAAGACGTGGACGACATCAAGATGGCTGTGATGACGGAGCTGCAGAGGATCCCGAAAGAATCCTTCCAGGAGTGCGTGGCAGCGTGGCAGAGAAGGCTGGGGAAGTGTGTTAGACTCCAGGAGGATTACTTTGAAGGGGAAACTTGTAGTTTGGGTTTGAAATATATCTTTTGTGACACCAGTCCTGAAACTTTCTGACACACTTTGTAAGTTTACTGTCTGTTAACATTGAAGCAAAGTGTCATTTGATGGTATTTCTCTTAAGATCATCTATATTAACTTTAAACAACAAACTGAGACAGCCTTCTTACTAACATTTGCCATCGTGGATTTGTCCTCCAGTAGTGCTCAGATCGCATTCAAGAGATTTGGAAAAGTGACTTTGGAGGGAGACCAGAAGATAAAAGGGTTTTTTGTTGTAGTTTTTTGCTCTCAAGCCATTTGGCTCTTTCTACAATCCCACAGCTCCTAGCTTTGAGCAGATATGATGCTCGCCATCTAAATTTTGGGAGCGAGTGTTTAAACATTTGCTACTGAGCAACAAACAAAATGCCAATAGTCTCAAGAAATTGATCATGAAGAGAAGAAATGGTCAAACTGGGATTTTGACCAAATGACTGTGCCACAGGAAAAAGTCTGAAAAAAGATCATGAAAGTCGATGCAAAGATTTACAGCAATTCATCCCGTAGTTTTTGAGATATTTCTCTCTGAACCAAAGTGGTGCACCAGCAGGTTACTAACATGTGACACGCTGGCATGGCTGAGACCGACATCGTCAGGTACATCGAGACATCACAATAACCAAAAAGCTTGATTTTGTTTGGACGTCTTCATAACAGATCTACCAACCTGCAGCTGCTTCCATAAACCATATCACCACAACAAAAGGTTTCATGACTACAAGGTGTTATAGCAGCAGTGCAGTGTTCAGTCAGTGTTTGGTGTATGTGCCATCACACAACTTCTACACAAAACTGACCTAATAATTAAAGTGGTGAAATCAACACCCATGTATAGCATACAGCATTTGCATACAAGTCTGTTGTTTGACACATGTTCATCTTGTCTCACACTCTAGTTTTAAATGACTGACAGCCCGGGAAGGAAGCATCCTGAGGAATAAATTGCAATGAGAGAGAATAAACAACGCTGTCCTGCTGTTGTTTCATGTAGCTGTAATTCTCCACGTTTGCGTCCCTGCAGGCTTTTTGTTATCTATTCTTTAGCCAGACAAAATGACTAATCTTCCATTCCAGTAATTGAGAGAGGAAACACACACACACACACACACACACACACACAAAGCAGTTTGAGGTGAAGCATGTCTCTCAGCAGCACTTGGACAGTTTGAGGGAAGCGAATGGTCCCCTCACCCACATTAACTTCATTACCCGTGGATAAAGTGGATGTGCTGCAGTGCCACATGTACTGATCATTGACTGTGACTGCTGTTTGACAACTAGACTCGGCACTCTGATGGCAAGCTCTTTGCTTAACAAGACAGCGATGTGACAGAAGCCCAAAGAAGGGATCGGTCCCAGTTTAGTTAGAAATGGACCACTCCTCATTTAGCACACAGAGCTGTATGCTAAATGAGGAGTGTGCTGTGGAGTGTCAGTTCTTTATTTCTTCCCCTAACAACACACTACAGCCACACACCAAAACATGTATGTGTCCTTTCAGTAATAACCGGCAGCGGCTCTCAGGCAGCTCACACTCATTTGAGAAGCTTTAACCAGCAAAGGTTTGGCATCTTTTTTGTTTTTTGATAATCAACAATCATAGTAAAGAAACACACACCAATCAGCAACAACATTAAAACCTAATATCATATATTAATGAGATACATAACCAATCATTTGAACCGTTACATTCACAATAAAAATCCAAATCAAGGTGTCAACATTTAGAGTAACACAAACTCAATCCCAAATGGTGCTGAAATGCTTCAGTGTGTTTCTGTAAGTTAAGTTAAAACAACTTTTCAACATGTATTCTTCAGTGTTAATAGGCTTATACAGATAGAGAGGCGGCTGCATCAGAACCAAAGCAATAAAAAGGCTGAATATCTGATCCAATAATGAACAAAACCCAATTACCGCTGGATCAGTGCCATGTATACATTGATAACGGCACACATCCTTTGTACACACTACGCATGTATGCTTTACGTTGTGGAATAATTACCAGAAGACTGTTGCTCAAGGTTCTGTAGCGCAAAGAAATTAATTAACAATTCACAGCAATTTATTCAAGCTGCAGCAACATGAGGGGTGCAACAACTAATCAATGTTGTTCACAAAAATGTAATTTAACTTATTTATTTATCAATGACTTGGTGAAATCATTCTGTGTGGTTTTTGCACCGACTCAAAATGCTCTGAAATGAAGGCATTACTGATGTATGTTAGTGCCCAAAGTGATTTTATAAAAGCACCTTCTCATAGTTTGGTGACATACACACTCCATTCACTGCTGATCTCTGCACAGGAAAACTGGATGAGTCAAAGACTGAACCAGCCTGTGTCACTACCCATGGCCTGCTGGGTCTAAGTTGACCACTGCTGGGCCCATTGAAGAAATAATATTAGATGTGTCATTCTCTAAAGAAGAACCCAAAAAAGTTAAACGCAATCATTTCCAGAGCATCTGTGCAGCCTTGTTTCTGACTGTGTCCATGGAAAAGACAACAGATGCCACCGTAACAGGTACGCTATGTATAGTATAATACAAACACAGCACAAGTACACACACCCATACAATGTTTATACTCAATGGATCAAAGTAGCACATCATCCCTTCAGGTATTATTAAAGGTTAGCAACACTAACACACACAACACTCCCTTCATGTGTACTGTTGTCTCATTAGCCACATTCTCTAATTAATTCTTACTCTCATGTTTCGTAAATTATAGAGCCGGTGAGGTCTCTAACCTTCAACATCATCTAAATCCACAACATGAAAACATTTTGCCTGATTGTTGTTTTATAATATCATCACAAATTATACCACATATATCCATCCATTATCTATACACCGCTTAATCCTCACTAGGGTCGCAGGGGGGGGCTGGAGTCTATCCCAGCTGACATAGGCCGAAGGCAGGGGACACCGTGGACACGTCGCCCGACAATCAAGCACACTCACATTCACACCTATGGATAATTTAGATCACCAATTAACCTCAACATGTTTTTGGACCTTGTGGGAGGAAGCCGGAGAACCCGGAGAGAACCCACACTGTATGAGGAGAACATGCAAACTCCACGCAGAAAGATCCCGGGTGTCCTCACCGGGATGCGAACCGGAAACCTTCTTGCTGCAAGGCAACCACCGCTCCACCTTGCAGCCCCATACCACATCTTTCTTAACTTTTAAACTTCTTTTCAGCACTTCCACAAGGCTACACAAAAAAAATCACAGTGTAAGAAGAGAAGAGTTATTTCACTCGATATCAATAGTTTACTTTTATGAGACAATCAAAAGTGGACATTAGACACATCTTATTCTCCCAGAGCATGTGTGCAATAACTGCTCCCATTAATCATCTTCCATTTGTCACCAAGCCTCATGTATGTACTGTACATAATTTACCCTTCATTCACTCTGCAGTTCTGCACCAGAAATCTGAGCACTCGTCTCCCTCCTTATGAGCATCATTAAATTCACATACATCTATTTAGTCTGATGAAGTGGGTTCGGCTGCAGCAGAGAGAGCAGCATTACTGTCATTAAGCATCCAGACGGACAGATATCACCAGGAAATGAAAGGGAACACAAAACAAATCATGACACCAATGCAGACAAAACATACAATGTACACCTCTGAACAATCAAGATAGAAACATCCATTACACGGTTATGTAGTTAAATGTTGCTGACCATTAATTAAGAAATGGCTCATGGATAAAATAACCAGACAGGAATATCTGGGTGGTCCAATGTTAAAATGTGCTGCAGGGCTCACATTAACCCTGTTTTTGCACATATCAAGTTGGCTGTGTGGTAACCTGATTAACCTGACTGACAAGTCGATTTAGGAGCATGCATCACACAAGGACAGAGCCTCAAAATCAGGCATTAAAGCACCATTAGGCCCCCGCATCAGCTGATAATAGTGTGCATTAATGTGTAGTGCATATCCCCATTTATCCAAACAAAGGGATAATGAATCACCTGACCAAAACCAAGCAGCCACACAGAGATCTTGGCATTTGTGGCTTTACAGAGCCCTTCTGCAGAAAATCATCTCCACCCTAGCACTGTTTAATCTCCACATTACGGTGGAGCTGGAGACATTTAGTTAAAGCTGAGAGAGAGATTGTTTTATCTGTCTGTCGTGTGTGTGGTTAAAAACTGATGACAGCGAGAAATGATGATGTTTACAAGGAATATTTTACTATAGAACATCATCAGCTCAACACTTGGCTGTACAATACAATACAAACTTATCTGCACACATCATTCCGTCTCCTGCTGTGCCTCAGTGACAGAACCTTGCTGCCATCTCGTGGCTACTTGAAGAACTCAGTTGCATTTACTGATGTAGACTTTAAGTAGCAGCAAACTGCACCCATAACCACACACACACATACCAGCATGTGCAGCCAGTATACAAACTCTATGGTTGATAAACAGAGAAGAAAGAGTAGAAATATCTAATGTATCTCTTCAGAGGACTGACAAGCGCCAGCAGTGACTCCTTTACTTCACCCTCTACTGCAGCTACACAGACTATCCCATACTACACACACACACACACACACACACACACACACACACACACACAGACAGAATAGTACCAAGCAGCGTTGTGTACATGATGCTAGCAGCGGGGAGCAGCGCCTGTCTCACCGGGTGAAGCAGTGGTGGCACACCTCTCTGACCAGCTTCTTGGACACACAGCAGGCCAGCGGCTCAGCGGAGACCAGCAGCTCTCCCCTCCTGATGCCGGCCGTGGCCCGCAGCCCGTTGCCCTTCCCGGGGCTGACAAAACGCTCCAGCTTCGGTGCCATTGCCGCTTTTTCCCTCCACGTGAACCGGAGCTGTGTTTACATCCGTGATAGACGCTGCGTCATGACGTCACACGCACGCACGTACGCGCCCTTTGCGGCCCACGTTAAAGTTAGAGACGGTTCATAACATTTTTTTTGTTTTTTGTTTTTAAGAGGCATGTTTTGGACCACTGTGATGCTTTGGAACGTTGATAAAGGAAAGAACACACTTCTACATTTTAGTAAAAAACATATTAAAAGTTCATTAATATTAGCAGGAAAAATGTGGTGACAGTATCAAAATAAAAGTACCGGTTGGGTTCCTCTGACTAATAAATAATATTATGTATGATACTGGATTATTACATCATTATTACTCAAAGAAGGAGGGCAACTTTTGTTCCCAGAGCTGTCCCCCTTCGAAATGCACAACCATCTTTGACCCGCTGACTCCCTGCCAATGCCAATGTAATATAATGTAAGATTTATGATGTGGTTTATGTTTCTTTATATGTATTATTTTTATTTATTTTATGTCTTTATATTGAATACTCAGTAAGCTTCTGAATTGTCCCTAGGGGATAAATAGCAAGGTGGCTGCAAGGTGGAGCAGTGGGTTGGCACTGTTGCCTCGCAGCAAGAAGGTCGCCGGTTCGCGTCCCAATGAAGACACCCGGGATCTTTCTGCGTGGAGTTCACATGTTCTCCCCGTGCAGCGTGGGTTTTCTCTGGGTTCTCTGGCTTCCTCCCACAAGGTCCAAAAACATGTTGAGGTTAACTGTTGATTCTAAATTGTCTGTAGGTGTGAATGTGAGTGTGCTTGGTTGTCTGTCTCTAAGTGTAGCCCTGTGATAGACTGGCGACCTGTCCAGGTGTCCCCTGCCTTCACCCTGAGTCAGCTGGGATAGACTCCAGCCCCCCCGCGACCCTAGTGAGGATTAAGCGGTGTATAGATAATGGATGGATGGATGGATGGATGAATATGAGCTAGGTGGCTTAGTAATGTTGCAAAAGAGACAGAATCAAGGCTCACAAACAGCTCGTTTGAAAGATCTTTAACATGAGACAGCACAGGGAAGTGGTGGTTTTTAACAACAACAAAATAAAAACCTCTTCTCCTTGTTACATTCCATTAGAACAAAGTAAAAGAGCTCCTTAAACGACCCATAAATGTCTTTTATCAGGCTGACAAGTGGTACACAGAACTGATTCACACACAAAAATCACAACTTTCCATTCATTCATTTTTGATGTTTTGCTGAAAAACAAATGAGGAAAAAGAAATGACAATGCATATCATGCTTACAGATGAAATGTAAGAAAAATGAACAATTTTTTTGCGTGAGGACGATGATACTCAGAGCACAAACTCACAAGTTTCAAATCATCTCCACGAACTAGAAGGGGTGAATGAATGAAAACATAACATATAATGGTGGCCTGGGTGATGATGTTTACAAGAGCTGGGACTGAAAGTGAGAAATACATGTCTCTGCCAAAGCCTTCTTAAGAGCAACGGTGACACGAGATGAAAAACCTGTCTGATATAAGATGACAACAATCAACTGAAGAAATCGGTTTTCCTTAACCACTTAACACTCGACATCCCTCGTATTATAAATAATTAAAATCATCCAAAAGATTAAATAAGAGGTTTTCTGAGTGATCATCATCTGAACCAGCCAGACGACATGTGCAGATAAACACAAGAATGAATCTACTCTATCGTATGTCCCCGAAAATCCTCATATCTCAAACTATAAGGTTTCTGTGAATGATGCATCATGTGAGAAAGATAATACTGCGTTATCTGTTAGCAATGCATAGCTAGGGTCGGACACTTGAATGCATCCTCTTTAATAGAGATTTGTTCTCTTTGCTTCTGACATTTTAGAGTTTTGTTTTTTTGGGATATGCGGATTTTCTAGGGCATGTTTCATTAATCCACTACAACAGCAAATGAAAGGAAAAATAATAATTAACAGGACACCAAACGTTGCAATATGTCGAAATAACACAAAAGCACAGATGTCTCACAAGGCAAATAGTGAGATTAAGCTGTAAAATGAGCTCAGTTAAGACTAAAACTTGACTTACAATGAGTATAAATAACAGTTAAAGCACTGGTGCGAGAATAAAGGCTTGATTTCATTGCCTTTTTTTTTTTTTTTTTTTGCCTTTCATTAGGAAATCAGTCCCCTCAGAGAAAGTGTCCTTCCCATCTCAAACCAGGATTAAAATGTCAACAGATGTAAACACATTAGACACAATTAACAAAAATGGCAAATGTTATCTAGATGACTATTAAGGAAGACCAAGCGCTAGCAAAAATCATTCTTAGCTGCTTAACTATTTTGGATAAATCAGATAGAAAACACTGACAGTCACAGACAGAGGATGATACCCAGAGTCCCTATAAACAGCACGCGCACACACACACACACAGACAGACAGACACACACACACACACACACACAGACACACAGACACACAGACACACACACAGGCAGATAGTGCTTCAAATGATCCCATCAACATCAAGGCCGGCACTGATTACGTACACTGAGTAGCTGTTGTTTTCAACATTATTTGTAAATTTCTCATTCATGAAATATTCCATACTTACACCCGCTTCAGTGGTCTATGCAAACATTTGCTTAATATGGATATTTTGTTTCTGATGTCAAGCCTGTGTTTAGGACCAACAGAGTAATGCCTGTAGAAATATTGCAATATCTTAAAAAAACTGTACCAGTCTTATGTGCAACATGTTAAAACATTCCTTTGACAATATATATACAGAGGTGCACTGTGTTCCTGTACATGTTGCATATGCTACACAAAGCTAGATTTAGCTCATTTAAACCCATAAACGGATAGTTTTGACGTTTAGTCTCTAGCTGCAGCCATGTCAGCCCACTGTAGACCTATTGTTGGTAGTTACACAGAAGAGAGCAGCAACAGGACACTCATGTCAAACATGTGCAGAGGGAAAGGCACATACAGAGAATTGCTGTAAAGCTGACAAAGAGCTTTTTAGCAACTGCTCATTACAAATGCAATGCATAAGTAAAGATCACGGTTGTTATAAGCGATTGAATTAATGTTATTTTTCCCCCACAGAACATATTTGATGTGACTGTTTGCTACTGGCAGCTCTATTACTATAAATAACAAAATAACCCTTTCAATGTTTTCTGGCAATACACAGATGCCCTATACTTCACCACTAAACTCCAAACATTCATTATAAAGTTTAAGACATGATTAAGACATTATGATTTCATTCCAAGACCACAGAATGGTTTGATCATTTTAAAATTTCTTTAGTTATTTAAAAAAGGTAACAATAAAAGCAACACCAGCGGTTGCAGCAGTTTGTAAAATACTCTTTGGGCCTCTTCCCATTTGTGCAGTGTATGGACAGAGCATCTGTGTGCTCCCTAGTTAACAAACTATACATTATATGTATATTTTTCTTGATTTCCACGTGCTGCAGTGGTTATTACTGAGTTCTTTCACCTAACAGAGGGAGTGTATTCTTGGAGGCCAGTGTGGGTCAGTGAGTTAGTATCCAGTCATGGTTGATTGACCTGTGAAGCGTAGATCACAGCCATAGCGAGCTCAATGTGACACTTTGGTCACATTAGGAATTTCTAAACCTAGCAGAGAATTTATAACTTATTAAATCTGGTCCGGCTCAAGAGCGGCGCAGGTCAGTTCTTCCTCTTCTGCTACAGAAAATGGAGACAGCTCCATTTTACAGTCTTTCTGTCTCTGAGCTGCTTTACCTGAACAAACTAGTGTTGTAAAGAGACATCAGACCTATGACTTTGAGTGAACCCTGGAATTGTATCAAAGAGCATTAAAAATGCAGTAGGCCAGGCTTTCAAATGCCAACTGTCCTTCACTCCTGGCATCATTACCTTTAGAAAACATTGCTCCAGGAAGTAGCAGAAACCTACAGTGATGAACACGAAGACGAGTGGCTCCACACTGTTGACAAACTGCTCTCTGCTATGACCCAGGGCCAAACCAGTGTTGGATCTGAGCTATCCCACGCTGTATCTGGCCGATGTAGAAGTCTGCATTTCTGGAAAAGTCCTGACAGACTGAGGACTGGGCATCACCCAAAGCACAGTAAAGGGCAGTGCCACCCACACTGATCACTACAGTAACCAGACAAAGCAGGAAGAGAAGCAGGCACGAGTCCCCACCGCCAACATCTACAGAGCAAGAGAAATAAAGAGCAGATTAATATGTGCTGAGGACGTTGCAAGGATTTATCAATCATTCTGAACAATGTCAGAGTGGATTTGTAAAGGCAGTGCTCTTCCAGTTTTACAAGTTTATGGGAAGATGCAAATCTCCAACTGTTGGCAACAAACTTATAAACATACCTTGGTCATAACTGTCATCAGGAACTTTGAAACGGACGCGCCTTTTGGCAGTGGTTTTCTCAGGTCGGGGCTCTGGACTGGCAGACACGCTCTCTTTGTCCACACAAACGCTTCGCTTCTTCAGTATGGACACCAGGCCAGAGGCTGGAGAGAGCTGGAAAAAAAGAAAAAGAAAGAAATGCTAGACGGCACAGACTCAGACATCTGCATTAACATTATTTCTGTTTACACCATCAGACAGACAGACAGACAGACAGACAGACCTTGTGTATGAAGGCAATGTGATACTGTGTCAGGAAAGGCCCCCATATTTGTATAGACTTAGACATAGATTTGCATGGACTCTTTATAGTGTCTTTCCATTTGTATAATAGATAACGAGTCCTTAATGCAAATGTTCAAAGCTGGGTGGTGGGTTTTCAGGTCAGATGATTAAGTTCGCGACCACCATTCCTGGGTGCAGACCAATTTGTACATCCAACTTAAGCCACTTCAGAGCATCCAAAGGTCACCAAGTTGTGCTCAAAGTCTGAGAGCCATTTGAAAACTGCAGTTCTAAAAGTTGCACAATGTCGGGCAAAACCAAAAACGATCAACAACACTTCTAACACTGAGGCAGCAGTGATGGGAAGATGTGGTTCAATTTTGTTTTATAATTTTAAGTAATACATCAATGCCTATCAATCTGTACCGCATCTTAGCAGAAAACCTAAGACACTGCCTTTTCCCAGAACTCTGCTTAGACCTCTTCATGTAAATCGTTGGTCAAGACTTCTCATATGAAGACTGAGCAGACAGGAGTTTTAAGGCAGTTCATACATTTTGTTACTAAGTTTTTACAATCTGGAGCATGCAACAGTTTTTCATAAAACAAATGTGTCGTCAGGGCATCAAATCCAATCTGACTTGATAATCTCCATTACTTTGACAACATTTTGTAGAAACAAATTGTCTTAGAGCTGCACTTCAATATTCACGTCCACCAGGAGGCAGCACACCACAATCAGCAGGACTAAACTTTGTACCTCTCTATTAAAGTTCTACCCAACATATGAACTGTTATGCAGTGCCAAGCACTGCTCCTCTATGACAAAACTTAGGAAAATTATATCTTGAACGATTGCAGGTGCTACACAAAAGTGCATGAAATACTGATTACGGTGGCAAATGAACTTTGTCCAAGTGGTGGTAGACACATCCAGCAATGCTTTTGCTTATCGTTGCACCCTGCACTAATAATGAAGTCATTCAACAGGGTGAGACTTACAGTCACACCACTTACTATGTTGACCTGAAGCACAAATGACTTGTCAGAGATAATTATTAACTTACATATTTACTTATAAGCACTACAGATACAATATGGTCTCAGTTTGTATTCCTTAAATAAATGATTTATGTAAACGAGAGAACGACACAACAATGTCTTCAAACAAATAAAAAAAAACAGCAAACAAATGAAAACTCCCTTTAAGACTTATTCATAAGTTCTGCACATTGAAGAGTCGTTACACAGACCCAAAACAAAAACAAAATTACCTCCTAATTCTTGCTACCACAGCTACCAGTGCCTACGCTGCCTCGCCCAGACAAGCTCTGCATCCTGTATTGTCTCATTACAGAAGAGTTAAATGTCAAACTGGCTTTTATATCCACAAAACAAAATCCATAGTGGGTATCACAGTAATGGTTAGGTAATGCCATTAGGGCTGCTTCAACACAGCAACTTGCTCTCCAATACAGAGGGCCTAGATGGGCAGATACAGACAGAACCTTTAAAATGGTCATCAAGCTGTCAATTGTAGGCTATAATTTAAAATTTTAAACACATTTAGAGTTTTCATGTATGGCTTTTTTTTTTTTTTTTTGAGTATATGTTAGACTCTGATAGAAAGACTGAATTTACAAACACACACAAACACACACCCTGACCAGCGTTCGTACAAACGTTGATAAATACCCAACAAATTAAAAACATACACACCTCCTCTACAGTGATGAGCTTCGCCATGTCGTCCAACGAAGGAGCTTCTCTAATGATGTCAGCTTGGCTTACTTCATACTCCTCCTCCTCCTCCTCCTCCTCCTCTTCTTCTTCCTCCTCTTCCTCCTCCTCCTCCTCCTCGTCCTCCTCCTTCTCCGCCACGCGCTCTTCCTGCTGCTTCATATGAGCCTCTTGAGGAAGGTGTGTCTCCTGGTGAAGGCAGGATTTAGTGCTCTCCTGCAGTGATAATGGAATAGAGTCATAACTTGCTTATCAATACGCTGTTATGGAAACAGTAATCTGTTTTGTTCCTCTGCTCTGCACTGGACTGCTGGAGCACAGTTCTGACTGAAGCCTTTAAAGCTTACGCAAGTCAGTAAAAGCTGCTAAATTTGTTGTTGTTATTGTTTGTGATTGTTCCCAGGATGAAAAGAACTTGTCCTCCATAAGCTATGTGAGCAATGTATATGTCATCAACAGAAGAAAACAAATGAAGATACTGGTCCTTTAATTAGTGAAACAAGGCAAGTGATTTTAGAAAATAAATGAAACTCAGAACTCAAAGACAATGTTGACAGACGGTGACTATGTTGTATATTGTCTTAGAATTGTTCCTTAAATATATTTGGTAAAATATCTTCAAAGCTAAATTTAGAGCATCTTATGTCGTCCAAAAATATGATATACGATACCTGGGTGTCCTCATGTAGCTTCTCCTGAGCCAAAGCATCCTGGTGCAGCGGTGGTGTCTCAAACTCTGCCCCACTAACCAAAGTCTCCACTGGGACAGCTTTCTGAGCAAAAGGAGAGCCTCTTTCTTTCATCTTCTCCTCCTCCTCTTCTTCCTCTTCCTCATCTTCCATCTCCAAAGCCTCCACTGCCTCCTCTACGTCCGTTTCCTCCTCTTCCTTTTTTGCCTCCTTTTCCTGTGCTGGACCTAAATCTTCTCCCTGCTGCTCTGCAGGGTTGGACTGATCCATTCCTCCAGCTGTAGAGGGGTGTAGTCCATTTTCTAGGGCTGAAATGGTGTATCCCACCCCCCCTTCTGCCTCTCCTCCCTCTCTGTCATTGCCTTGCTTGTCAGTCAGCTGGGATCCGTGGAAACTGTCTGGGTCTTCCCTGTCCTTTACTGAGATCTCAGGGGAACTGATCCTATCAGGCAAATTAATGGAGGGTATGACTGGACAAGAGGAGTCTTCGGCTCTCTGCTCCATCCCTCCTTCAACCTGATGGGCTGGACAAAGGAACACAGAAAAATAAGAGATAAATTTGATTTCCATGACTGAAACGTGAGTACGTTCAGTGTTAGTTTGTTAACATATCAAGTACCAACCAGAAAAAACACCACCCTCCTGCATAGAAATATATTTTGAAATTGCTCTTATCTTCAACATTGTATCACAAACTTCTGAAGTGTGCCAATACAAAGAGCAAACCATAGAAGTGAGTCCACTACTGCAAAAAAAAAAAGACATTCAAACGTGTCAAGTAAACATTTAAAGTAAATGTTGACCTTCATAAATATACAGAAACATGTAACAGCAGTTACAGTGCTAGTTTGTTGACAAAACCTCTTTATTCTGTCTTTTATTGAGACTGCTGATTGCATTGACCCTTACATTAGGCCTGGAGAGCACCAGCAGTGTGCAGCAGGTTCATTTAAACAGGTTTTCGTGATCTGATAAAGTCCTTATCCTTGCAGCACATCACATTACTAGGTGTGTGGGCATGGGTACAGTTTTGCAAGTAAACCTACTTCATCACTTTAACCTATCGCTCTCTTTTATAGTATAATACACCAAAAACTACTGAGGGGATGTATTTCACACCTTCCACCTCTGGTCTGATCAGCTGAGCAGAAGCCTGCACCTTTTGAAACATACACGTCCAGTATGGAATGCAACCACCAAGAATCTGTCGTAACCTTTGTCCTACTGTCTTATCAAAACAACAGATCACCGTCCAACGATTAAAATCTGACTGAAATAGCAGCATTTAGCTGAACACCAGTGGTTCTGCATGTCTTCGTTGAAATATGACAAATGGCACACAGATTGCATCAAGACCTACTAGTTTACACTCACCTGTGGTGCATGAGGGCAGTGCACCACTTTCTTCAAATGTAGGTCTCAAAGAGTCCAGAGATTCACACTGTACACACAAACAAACAAATATCTGTAGTGTTATACAACCCCAATCACATGTGCAATATGGTTTAATAATGTGCAAGTTAAACATTGCAGGAGAACATGAAGAATGACAATTTAGTGTGCAACAGCAAAATCCAAATTTGATGTTTTACATGTAACTCATAAGCATGATATCAGTGATTAACAACATTAACACAGTCCTTCTCCTTTTTCTTATATATATGTACATATGTCTCGGTCATAGACACACACCAAAAGTGACAAATGTCTTACCTCAGCATCTCCACTCCTTGGTCTACAAACACAGGAAAGAAAAACAGACAGACAGAGTGAGAAGGTGAGAGCACTGAAGGTCGGTTCTTGGTTTTAGTAAATGAAGACGCAAAAGATGTTTGACCCTTCTCTACTCTCCCAATCTAATATTAGCCTGAACACATTTCCCTGGCTATTACAAGTAGTGTGTGAGCGAGACCGTGAGTGACGCTGTGTGTGTGTGTGTGTGTGTGTGTGTGTGTGTGTGTGCGCACGAGTTAAGCAAAGTGAAACCCTAGGAGTGTGATGTCTCAAATGTCTGAAAGTGCAGCAGCAGAAGCAGCCAAGAGCCATATGTTTAAACTATCAGTGCAGTGTTCATCATAAACACACCCAGATATACATGCTCACTGTCATACACACACACACACACACACACACATATCATCTCACTTGGAGTTTAGAGAATGTCCAGGTGTGTATGATACAAAAAGCTGTGTGTCTGGCAGGTATAATACACTTAGGACTTCCTATTAAATATTAAAAAATGCCAAGATGGGCTTCACTTGACTAATTAGTGAGCCTTGAATGAGCACACCCCACAACACAGCATATTTCACACACTCTTTACCAAACAAAACAATACACACACACACGCACACACACAAGACAATGACGGATAATTTTGATTTTGCACAAGTTTCTCTCCATGTTATGAGAGTGTCTTAAAACATACTATTTTTCAGCAGCTTTCACAATATCGACCAGTTTAGTTGACATTAGATACAAAGGAAAAAAGTACATGCAAAGAGTTCACACGCAACACAAACACACACATGCAAACTGACCGACTGTGCGTCTGGCAGATGTGTTTAAGAGCGTCCAGATGTTGGGTTGCCAGGTGAGAAGACGACCTTCTACACTGACCTTCTACGATGGGAAGACAAAGACATCCAGTTAGAGAGGAGCACGGTTCTACTTGTGAGAAAGCCTCTAAGAGCTGAGCTCCTCCAAATGCAATCCATAATCCTAAATGCTAAGTGAAGCCATTTGCATGATATGATCACAGAAACAACATTAAATATATTTTACTGCGTTTCAGTGGATGACCAGTGTGGCTGCAGCCTCTGTGTCTCGTCTCAGAGGCTGAAGTCCGACTGTGGAGTCGTTTTATGCTTGACAGTAGTGCATGTGGGCACTTGATGAAGGTAATTTCAGAGAAATAACAACCTCTAAGCCTTTGTGTGTCCATCTGAATGATTATATACATTATGTTATCACAGTTTATTCCCTGTGGCTTAATATTGCAACAAGAAGAAATACTGCAAATGTTTATCATCTGTGTGTTACAAATATTAAAGCATTTTGTTACACAGTCAACAATAAAACATGCTCTGCATTACCCCACTGCTCTTGAAGTGCATTCAGGTTGTCCAGTACTCTCTGGTGATAGAGTCGCTCTAGTTGGACGCACCATAATGCTCTCTGGTCTGAACACCAGTGGGTTAAGAAATGCATAAATAAATACACAAAAACAAAACACTGTTTGCATTAGAAACCGTATCGCCTCTGAAATTTTCTTGGTTTTCTGCTCACAAACCATTATAGCTGACAGCGGTAGAGGAAGGAAAATATAAAATAAGGGACAAAGAAGGACAGAGCGAGCAGAGGAGAGTAAAGGCCAAAAGAGACAGAGGAGGGGAAAAGCGCTCCAGGATGCAGTCTCATGTTTATGGATATGAGCAGCCAAAACACAATCCTTCTTTGAAATGGCTCAATGCTTTCTCTCTCTCTCAAACTAACCCTCTATACATGCATGACGTAGCTAAGCTAGCCTCCCCTCCTCTTTGACTCTGTCATTTCTTCCCTCCCACCGTCTCTATCCTCTGATTAAATCTCTGATTCTCAAGCTAACTCTCCTGTCTTTCTTCTTCTCTTTCACGCACCACCGTCTCTTCCTCCTACTCTGTTTTATGCCTTATCTTCATTGAGCATAAGTGTTTGAGTGCATTTGTATGAGTGTTTCTAACTGTGACTGTGTCTGGAGAATATTAACAATGTCTACGTATATGTGACAAACAGAATCTACATTTCTATTTGAAAACAGAGACTGATGGTCTCTGCAATGATCCAAAACTAACCATAGTGGTACAAAGAACATTTTGATTAGTCAACAAATAAAAAGTTGAGCTGGTTAGCGTTATTGTATTTCCCTAAATGTGATCTTCAAATCATTAAAAAATGTCATGGTGGTATACAAAATAAATACAAATTAGAGGATTCAATAAGAAATATACTTTAAATCAATCCATTGAAGGACCTCATCGACTTTTGCTTATTATTACTATTTTTAATTTACTCATAAGTTAGCTGTAAATGCTGTAATTTTTTCCCCCCATTTGACAAGTTTCTTATTTTGGCAACACCCTGTAGTGCTACTTCCTGTCATGTCATCAGAGCAGGTTGGAGTTTTAATCTGAGTGCCAATCTGACTGTCTGTCTCTCTACCTTGTGAGCCTCTGGGCATTCTGTAAAAGTCATCGCATAGACTACAGCGTTGTTCTCTCCGTTTCACACTCTGTACTCACCCTTCTTCATGTTCTGCTTATCCATTCTGTCTGTTCTTTGCTTACTTTTCCCTTCCTGTTTAGTATTTTCTCTTATTCTCTTCTCTTTTCACTAATTCCCCTCTATCTGCTCTCTGTTTAAAAACTCTGCAAAACTCCAAAGTGAGGCATTAAATGAACAGCTGTAATTTTAATGCACCATGAAGACAGGAGATAAGTGTATGAAACTCCTTACACAAATTAAAATAAATGCTTTTACCCACCACAAAGACGCACACAAACACACCAAAGGGCTCAAAAGGATACAGTCTTCATGAAGGACAAAGGCCTCAGCAATCTGCAGAAAGAGAACGACACATTACATGTTTTAATGAAGTGCATGTGCGCTTTTATCTCATCTATTGTCACCACAGCTATTAAGGAAATTGGCTAAATAAGGGTGTAAAACCAGACTGAAACTAATCTTTAGGTAGAGCGGTTTATCAACATGACACAAGATCTGTCAAAAAGTAAAGAACAAGTACAGAAGTCTAAAGTTCACCAGTATGGAACATAGCACGACACAGAGCTGAGACTGAGTAACTGTACTGCTGCATTAACTCATATAATCATTTACCATGACAGAGAGAAAAAAAAAGAACAGTCTGATCTCTGAGACATAACGCAGCAGGTAAGCTGTTAAGTCAATTGCATTTAGGACAGACACGGTGAAAATGAGAGTGAGTGAAAAGAAGGAAAAAGGAGAGACCGTGGTAGACACTCTACCTCTTTTCAGCAAGTGTCGCTTTCATGTTGTTCAGCTGATCACAGAACAAGAGAAGTGTGTGTGTGAGAGAGAGAGAACGAGAGAGAAGGAGGAGGAGGAGGAAAAAAGGAGGGCACAAAAGGTTCTCGCATTTCTAATGAAGTGAGGGGTGGCGACAACTCAATGGCCTTTCTAGGTAACTGCACAGACGGGGTTTAGGGAACAAGTCTGGAGGAGGTTTTAGCAAAAAAAAAAAGAAAGAAATCAAACTTTGATTAATAATCAGTTACACCACAGAAAAAAGAAGCTATCACATACACCAGAAATACAGCCTGATTTCATTTTGTTTCTCTATTTAGTTTTCCCAAATTATAATATCAATATCACTATCAATTAATAAGAAAAACAAGTAGGGGTCCTCGGACCCTAAAAATGTATAAATGTAGCCTTTCCTGGTTTTGTGATTTTTAATAGTTTTCTACTTTGCGATCAAAAAAACACCACATTGTCCTTCTCTGGTCATAAAATTTAAATTTCTCTAAAAATACAAGATCTCACAATTAATCCCAGTTTTTTACTTCTGTATTATTTTAGTAACAACTGACCCCCAGGTAAGGGAAGCCTTTAATAAGAGTCCAAAAGGACCCAGTAAATGTGAGATTCAATTTTGGTTTTTCAATAAAAACACTCTTTCTCTTCCTCTTCTCTGCTTCATTTCAGTCATTTACATCAGAGCTACAATGAATAATTTATTGGTTATCAACTACTAAATTAATCATTATCTATTTAGACAATCAAATAGTTGAATTGAATAATAAAAACAATACAAATTCTGTGATTACAGCTCACTAAATTTGGTTTCTGTTTTTTTTCTCCTCCTCTATGACGATAAACTGAACACATTGGGTTTGGGACAAAACAACACGTCATCACTGGCCTTGGAAAACAATGATCAACATTTTATAGACCAAACAACTAATCAGCTGAGCAAGACAATAATTGTCACATGCTGCTGTAAACACAACAGCAACATGAACGTCTAAAAAAGGGACAACAACATTTTTCTTTCAAGCTCACTGTTCAGAAACAGTAGAAAAACTCTCTAATAACCATGAATCAGTTACTGGCAGTGATCAGATAACTGTTAACCATCAACATTGAAAGCAAATACTCTTTTTTTTCCACACACTATAGAGCAACCACAACACACTGTAACTATGCTATCATTAGCCCCAGTATTTAAGCATAATGTTTGCAGGAAAATGTGATGTGTTAGAAATTGATCCTGATGCTCGCAGTTTTGATCTCTCTCTCTTCTTCACTCACACACACACCTGTTTGCCTGAAGTAAGCGCAGGTCAGGTGTGCCTGGTTGAGGGATTTATAAATCAAACTGACAGAAACGTTCACACACCCCAAAACATACATGTTCTTTCATGCAGGTTTGTGTCAGAGAGAAACACGCACAGACACACTGGGGGTGTCTGTTTCTATGTCGTGTGCGTGTAGTGTTTGTGTGTACTTGTGTGCATGCCTGTATTTTTGTTTGTGTGCACAGACACTGAAGACACCCACGCCCGAGGGTACGAAGTGCCATTCTGATTATGAGTTTGCGTGGATAACCAAGATTTAATAACTAGTGTGAGAGCAAGAGCTAAAGAGACAAGGAAGACAGCAACGCAGCAAGAAAACCCTTCAAGAAACCATTAAAGAGAAGAGCGTCTGTTTAAAAAAAGGGACAGAAACAGTAGCGATAGCCTGGTCTTAGTATTTAGCAAAGGGGCAGACATACAACAGACAGGTTACCTGGTGAAGGTAATGTGGAAGACGGGCGTCATCTCCTTTTTGTGCCAACTGCTCAAGAGACTCTAGCAGAGCTTGGCTTGGAATAGGCCCTGTGGCACAGGTGGAGACTGAGAAACAAGTGGTCACTGGAGGGGAGGTAACGTGTTCCCGATTTAAAGATACAGATCCAGTGGTGGAAGTGGGTTCTGTCCCGGTAGTTGTAGGCCCTGTGGTGAATGTAAGGGTCTCTGTTGCTGCAGTTAATGTAAATGTCTCTGCATATGAAGTGGCAGACCCTCTGGTACATGTGGGCCCACCGCTGAAGACGAGCTCTGTGGATGAGGTAAGTTGTTCTGTAGTGGAGTTTGTATTTTTTGCTATTCTGTCAGTAGCTTCTGTGATACATGTAGGCCCAGCTGGGCTGGTAGGCCATGTGCCTGAGGTTAAAGTCTGTAAAGTAGAATCCATAGGCCCCGTGGTGAAGGAAGGTCCCTGTGTGCAGGTAATGGACCCTGTGGTGGAGGCACCTGATCCAGTGTTGGAGATTTGAGAGTCCACTTTAACATCACTCTGGCTCAATATCACTGAACTGATGGGATACGTAGTCTCTGGACTGAGCACTGGAATGACGGGGGAAGTGGGCTCTGGACTTGTCCCAGGGCTGAAAGGATATGGGGTCTCCAACAGACTGCCTATGGAGGGAAAGAAAGACATTAGCAAACAGAAAGAGATACGCAGGAAAGAGAGATGAGCAGAAAAACAAAGTATGATTATGGCACCTTGAACATGCCGATGTATAGTTAAACCGAATCAACTTTTTTTTTTCTCGTAAGGAGCAAATTCATTGTGAGTAAATAATCACACACTGACAGTTGTGTTTCCGTTATTTCAGAGGACATTCATTTCCAGAAGCCCTACCTTAACCCTAACCATTACCACTACTTACACAATGCTTCACCCTTATCTAATCCTAACCTGACACTAATCTTTACCCTAAAATTGTATGATTTTCACTCGTGGGACTGGCAAGTCCTGACAATGTGACTGTGTCAAGAGACACAGACACATATACGTACATACATGACAGCTAAATATTATTTCTCCAAGCTTATTTCTTCAGTGCATGATGAAACAAGTTTTGTCAGTTATGTTCGGGTTAATGCTAAATGCCTCCAGGCCCTCAGGCACAGACCTACAAACATACAAATGCAAATATGAAAATGGTATTTGCTGCCATTTTTACAGTAGCTCCTACAACAGCAGCTGTTTGTGCGCAAGTGTTTCACATCTGCACATGAGTGTCTGAAAAAGTAGAAATGAACTTGTGAGCTCTAAACTGGTTTTTATTTTGTTTTGGCACCAACAGTGTGACACATTACCTAGTCTGGGTCGTGTTAGACCCTTTGGGCATCTCTCACTTTTTTATGTCTCCAGACGTCTGACTTAAATTGTACTTTTTTTTCTCTTTGCTTTCCAGTCTTTTTGACTTCCTTTTAATGTTTTCCTCAGCTTCCTCCTCTCCCTTTCACTCTATATGCAGTTGCCCTCCATTTGATTGTCCTGTTTCCTTCTCTTGATTCCGTCTTTCAGTCACATGATCAGAATGACATCATTACCCCCCGCCACTCTGACCTCAATCCAATATGCTGACCACTTAAAAGATACAGGAGGCATTACAGCAGTGAGTGAGACAGACCCTGAGCAGAGTGTTGGCCTTCAGGAATGATGTTTTGAGGTTTTTTTCTAATGAATGTCAACAAGCTGTCATTTTTTTTACAGTGGCTCCCAAACAGGAGAATGTCAACAAATTAAAGGATGCACTGTTGGCTGTTGTTTGTATCACAAGTTTAAGAGTGTACATTTCATCCTCCTGTATTATTTTAAGCTCCACTCATCCACAGGTCTTTAGGTTCACTGTTTTGGTTTTCCCACCTCTAATCTTTCTCAAGTGAAATAAAAGAAGGACACTCCCATGTGGACACATATAAGACTCCAAATGAATGGTCATGCTGCTCTGTGTCTGTGTGAGTACACAACTCTGCCAAGACATCTGACATATCAAATCTATATGCTCAGCTGAATGTGAAGTATGCACACTATGGATGTGTTGCTGTGGTGTTCTACTGCCCCACGTGGCAAAAAAAAACAAACAATTAACTACAGCACAGAATCAAAACAGTAGTAGGTGTGATAGAGTATCATCCTGCATGTACAAACTGAATTACATTTTATTTATTTTTTTTAAATGTGTGCAAGTCCTTGTGTCCCCTACCAGTTTCTGAATATGAGGAATCAGTCATGGGAGTGTCTGGAGACTGGCAGCGAACTAGACAACTTGATTCCTCCGATTCTTCCTCCATCACTGCATCAATGTCTTCCTCCTCACCCTCCTTTCCCTGTTCCTCCTCCTCCTCTTCCTTCCCATTGTTGTTGAGAGGGCTTCTTTGGATGAGGCCACACCTTCTTCCCTCCTCATTTTGTGAAGGAGGGAGACTTTGAGTCTGTGTGAGTGTGTTCGTCTCGTTGAGGTTTCGAGTTTGGGCAGTGAGAGCATCGGGACTGGGAAGGTTATCACAGAGGTCAACCCCACCTCCACGAACCTGTGACATTACACTGTCCTCCCTCTCAAACTGACCTGAAGATGAAAGACAAAATAAATGATCAGTTGAAATCACAACTAGAGCAATGGAGTAAGAAATCCAAGGAACAATGATTTCTTCTTCAGTATGAAGGTCCTTCAGATGACCTTGACTCTACACATCAGACCATCATTGCAACTTGAGACAACAGCAACCACAGCATAAAAAAACACAACACCCAACACTCCCGTCCTCATTATCAGCTGCTTCTATTTTCACTGCAAAACACATCAAAA